CAGTGAAGTATATCTTTTCCCAGTTAGGTAGAGGAGGTGATGAAAGGTGGGGGATACTCACCAGAGACAGACAGTAGCTGTTTGTGGCAACAAGTCTGGGTTGTTGTTGGTGGTGGAGGCTGGCAAGGAGGTGCTGATTTACAGCAGCAGCACTGGAGCTGAAGGCTAGACAGTGGATGTGTGTGTTGGGTGTGTGTGTGTGTGTGAGTAGAAGAGGGTGGATGATGGTGGTCTGTGATACTGGTGCTTGGTCAGTGATGAAGGCGTTTAGGATTAGACCCAAAAACCCTCCCCACCCCCCAAAACTCTTGTAAACAGCCCCCCTTTCTCCTACACACACACTCACACACACATACACACACACACACACACACACACCCACACACACCCCTCATGCACACACACACACAAACACACCTACTCAATGCCTGGATTCCAGCTTTGAGCCCTTGTGAGATTCTCCAGAGCCACCCACCACCAACTCCTCCTCCTCCAGCATTAACAGTCCTTTTTGCCTGTTCTCTCTCTCTCTCTCTCTCTCTTTCACACACACCTACACATGTGCACACACACATGTCAAAAGACACTCTAACATAAGCAATGGCTCACCATTCCCTTAATATTGCGAGGGTAAAGCGATCCCCTCACACTCACATCACATTAGTGCTGCTATTAGACCATACCCAGACATAAGAGCTATGGTTGTGTGCGTGTGTGCGTGTGTGCGTGTGTGTGTGTGTGTGCGTGTTTGTATTTGCATCCGGGCTTGTGATTTCAGAGGGAGGATTGAAAAGTTTGGTGTGTGTGACTGATTGTAAATGTGTGTATGCGTCTACTTGATGTGTTATAGGAGAGAAAGTAGAGACACTAATACACTGGCACGAGATGAGTGGGAGGACGGATGGATGAGGTTAGCGAGAGTCTGGCGAGGGCTCACTAGGTGTAAGCTTGAGAAATTTCCATGTGGCAGTAAAATGTCTGCCACTTTACTTATTGAGTTTTTAATGTGGGCCAGGTGCTCCTCAGGAGATTTTAATGGACCATTCCACTCTGTCTGCGTACAGTATGTGTGTATATGTGTTTGTTTTAAGTCGCATTTGGAAAAAAATGTCGACTCTTACCAGACCATCTATCGCTTTGGGACAAAATTGGCATCCAAAAGTCATTCTCAGGGTAGTTATATCAGGCATAGCTGAAATGTCCTCTTTGGGTTTGATTATAGGGTAAAGGTAAGGGCAATGGCTAGGGTCAGGCATGCTTGGTTATGGGTAATGGTCAGCCTTATGGGGAGAAAAAAAAAAGTGTCTTCAGAAATAAGCTGCCATTTGGTGCCCTAGCACCGATTTTTTCCTTTTACAGTCAGTCTATAACAACAAGGCTGTATTAACAGTTTTACTGCCGCCTTTCATAGACGAAAAAACTCTCAACCGTCAAACCGAGCCCCCCAATGATACACACTATAAAATATAGAAAAATAAACCTGCTCCATTAGTTTAGTAAAAACCAGAAGCTTCACTTTAAAATACACAATTGTTGATTTATTAATGTGGACGTTCCATTCGTTGAAAATAGTGTCCCTCCCCCCCAAGAGTGTTAGTTTATACTGAGTCCATATTTATGGTTTGACACACTTTCTTTTTCACATCGGCAAACAGTTGGGGGTTTGGGAATTCTCTGAGGCTTACCCCAGCTAATCTTTTGTTTATCAAAGACCAAGATTTTTTGCCTTGTGATCTTCTGGAAGAAACCTTCAAAGCTGTGTCAGACCCCCGACAAAAATCCATGTTTTCTTTTCTTGACAAAGTTGCTCTAAAGTCTTTCTAGCTCATTTCCTTTAAGAGCAGACAGGAGCGGGTAGAAGAAACAGAAGTAGCCGACGTGAACTCGCTGTGCTTCTGGTTGCCCTTTAATGGCGACCGGGCAGCAGATCCAGGGCTGCAGTGGTTTTGGCAACAAACAAGACCGTCTGCTTTGAAGCAGCCACGGATCCTCTTACCCCTTGTCACTTCACTTCAAAAATATTTTTCCTTTCAAACCTGTGAAGTATACAGCAATTCATATGGGAATTTGACAAAATTCTTTCAGGAAGAAGTACCACCCAAAATGCCCTGAATCTGAGGGAGGCTATAAGAGCCTTTTTCTCTGTGTCTAGGGTCTATCTTTTGATTTCAATAAAATCATTCTTTATTACAATTATATTACAATTAATCCAATATTTTATTTTTTTTGACAACATTAGAAAGGCTATGATACCTAACCATTGTTAAGACACAGTATTGTTTATTTATCAGTCAATAAATGTGCAGCTAGATTAGGAACATTATTAATTAAACAAATGCATAAATATGTTTATCATAATGTTTTATCTCGGTTGGAACAAATGTTTTTTTCAGAGCTCACATGCTGTGCTGCTGTATCATCAACAATAATCATCAAAAGGAGAAATATTCCTAAACACGCTATATATCTACCAGCAGAGATTATAGTTTTATTTCACTCTCTATCATTTATCATTTTGTTCAATCTGGTTTCTGAGCTGACCTCGGTCCAAACTGGTATTTTGACCTGTAGAGGTTATTATCTTTAGTCATTATAAAACTGGTCAAATGAAATGGAAATATAAAAAGTCATTTTCAGACATGAGGGCCCAAGTATCCATTCGATTGGGTTGGCCTGTAACACCAAGCAAGAAAAGTTTCCATTTACATACACTAGTCCAGTGTTTTATGTGTATTCTTCCATTAGCCAAGTTTTTAAATAAAGAGAAGTTCTACAAGTGGTGGACCTTTTCACTTCACTGAATCTTCCGACTCTGAAAGGAACATCACGACCTATCAAACACACTTTAGTACATTTTAGCTAAGAACATTTTCTTACCCCTTACCACAATTCAAAGAATATCTTCCATTTCACAAATAAATTAAGCAAGACATTTTTTTAATAATCGTGACAAATCAAATTCACTCCTTATTGGATTATTAAATTGCCACATCACATTGAGCGATAGTTTGTTAGAGTTGAAAAAGATTTTTTTTTAAATCAATTAATTTGACAATCACACTCAAAAGTTGCAAAAACGAGTCAATTGACACAGAATGTTCTCTTAACACTATTTCTTCCACCACACATGTGTGATAGTGGCTCCACTGACACATAAAACCGAGAGACACACACCAGAGCACGTCTGTCTGCCTGCCCCTCTCAGGAAATGGCGTCCAATCACCTTTCAACTTTACACTAACAGACATTTGGCTTCACTTGGACATTTCACAGGGCTGGTTTCCTCTGAGCACACGTAAAACATTTCTTTATATTCCTGCTGAATGGACGACGAATTCCATTGTGTGAACATAACTGTTATTCTCTGCACACGGGGTGAAGTAAAGAGTTGAAGCAGCCTGCCTATAGACTGCACTTCATTTACATGAACTTTAATAAGTTTATTTGAAGAGCTGTGCTCAGCTCCTCGCTTCCTTCTTATCTCCAAATACAGCAGTGAACACATCAATATTCAACATAATTAATAATGTAGTGGACTTCAGTATCTCAGTATTAATGTTGACTGTGCCTGTCTTCTCTGGACATGTTATATATCTTACTGAATGAAAGGAGCAAGTTACTAAACTAAACAAGATGGGAAAAAAATATTACTATATATATATATATATATATATATGTCAATATAATTGAAATTATCCTTTTATATGTATGCCTATAAGCCATGTGTTGAGTCTCAGGGGGCTTTATTTTGTCAGCAGTCCCCTACAGATCACAGCATTTTATTTGACTCACCAAATGGCAATTTCTGTTTGTTTAAAGTGCTACAATGACCCACTCAATATGAATAATGTGATAAAGAAAAATGTTGTTTTCCTCTGAGTTAAGTCACTTATAATAAGGTTTTCTTTTGCAATAAAATCAGAATTATTCATTAGATTAGTTGACTTAATTTACTCGTTTTTCCCCTTTTAAACTAAAACACTTACTGCTACAATAAAAAACAATGTGAGGGCTGAGCAACTAAGGAGAAAGGCTGTAAAAAGCCGGGTCGTGACAGATGCCCCTTCTGCCACATTTCCAAGGAAAAAGGAAGTAGATCGCAGGTTTGTTATCTTACAGCAAAACAACAACACATTGCCTGCTGCCGTTTGTACCGAGCGATTGAGATAAAATATCTCAGTGTACACAAGTGAGGGAATCAAACAACAGTTGAGTGAAATGTTGCGCTCAAGTCACACAGTCGCTTTAAGTTTCTCATCAAAGTTGTCTGATTTATGTGACAGCATTTTCGACGACACACTGCAGGGCCTAACTCTTAATGTGATGTTAGTGGATGACGGTGCTCTGATGTTCTATAAAAAGAGATGTGTTGCTGTTATACATTGTTTTAATGTATTTATATTGCATAGTTTAAAAGATATTTTGTTTTGAATAAAGCAACGACTCAGCAGAAACTTTCCTCTGCTTTGAATCGGATCTGTAGGACCCGCAGGGAGGCGCTGTGCGTCCATGCCTGTACATAGGAGCGGAGAGAGGGACGCGCTGCACAGAGAAGATCAAGTATGTGTACAAAATCACCGGCCAGACAACTAAGATATTTGTTTCAGCCTTTCACATTCTTAAAAAATGCAAATTAAGATAAACGTTTACATTATAAAAAATATATATCTATTGTAGCCTGTATCAATTAAAAATATATATATTTAAACCAATGTGATGTGAAGTCGATCGCTTTGTATTCTGAATTAATTGTGCGAGTGTGAGAAATTCTCTTGGAGAAAAAAAAATACTATAAATGCAATATGGTTTTAAAAAGACTGTCAGTGACGACTATTTTACCAAGTGCATGTTAAAGTAGATATTTTATTTTCAATGCAGTTGCTTCTAACGTAACCCCTCCTCCTGCTGGTGCCCCGTCTCTCTCTCTCTCTCTCTCTCTCTCTCTCTCTCTCACACACACACACACTCCCCCCCCGTTATTTTTGCACAGCCCTGAGCTTCGTACTAGTGCAGCACGAGCCGAGCGAGAGGAAAAGACAGACGGTTCACACGCAGCAGCCAAAGCTGATCAATTCGCTCAGGGAATAAATATCTACAAATCGCGCGGCTCTTTCTTCATATAAAAGGAATACCACTTGATCGTGGACGCATGTGAGCGCGCACATGCTTATTTGGGACTTACATACCATGGTTCTTCTGACACAAGTGCGGCTGTCTGTGCTTGTGCTCCTCTGACCATAGAGAGGGTCTTTGGATCTTCTCGAGAAGGCTGCTAGTTCTTGTTATTTCTTATTTTCTTCCATTGACGATAAACGAAACATTTCTGGAAATATTCTCCGGATGGTGACCCCGGACTGGACTACCTGTTTTCAGCTGCTCCGCTCCATGCGAGGGAAAGGGACTGGGAGACTTGAGCGCATTGCATTCTTTCTGGTTTAACCAGGCACGTTGGAGCTCACATAAAAGGGACACAGGGCTCATAGATTTACACATTTTACGAAAAGGAGAGGTCTTTCCACTAAACACTTATCCGTACGCCTTTTGGTGCATGGGAGGTATATAGTTCCAGTGGGTTTTGACACCGCTGGGACCAGGACTTGGACTGGGACGGGTCTGGGTGCGTGGAGCGTCGGATCACCCAGGATTGTATTCCCTCCTCTCTCTCGTGGGTTTATTTACATGTCCGACCTGAACCCTTTATGACAATGGATTACTTTCTGCTTTTATGCAGCCTCTTGCTGCCTGTGGTGTCCGCCGTTGAAGGTAAGATATTCCATCTTTTGTATTTAATTTGCAGGATGCCTTAAAGCGTATTTTTGTGAGCCAGCACCCATGCCTGCTTGGCGGTGCGGCGGGTGAGGCTCCTGTCTTCACAAATACTTCATTTTTTTGTTTCCCTCGGTTTCAAAGCAACTTTTCACTTCCAACGTGGCCATCTGGCTTCTTTTTAAGGATCTTTAATGGCATTATTGGCTTTACGCAGCCATGCGCTGTGGCCGGTGCAGGTTCCACTACACAATTGTTATGCGCGTCGACTAAAGCTCATCCATTTCAATAGAAGTTGTGTATTCTTTATTGTTGGATCAGCTATTGCCGGGTGCTGGTGCTTTCTTCGTCACTTAAGGGAAATTAGCGCCACACTGTATCTCATCGGGGAGTCGCGGCTCCAAGACCCCCACCAGACACTTTCCCTCAGGTCGGCTGCGTGTATTTTAGTGCTGTGCGAGTGCGTGGCCTTTTGACATAGGACTATCAGTGTAAGGTCAAAGTAAACACTCAGAAAAAGGCGATAAAAGGCTATATTTATTCTCTATTTAGTTGTAAATACTGACATGTGATTTTTTTTTTATTATCCGAAACCTATTAGGATTGTAAAACATTAAACTTTTATGAAGTATTTTTTCAATGATTTCATTTCTTTTTAAGTCGTGTTTATTTTATTCCAACAGAAGTGGGGTCGATTGATCATCGCTTACAATTATAATTCATAGCAGTCGCTTACAATAACAAAGCCATCTGTTAAGGCTGAGTGTTGATGTTTTACGTGCGTAAAAATCGATGGAGAATTCTAGCTGTCTTCTCGCCCCACTGAGAAAGACTCTCGCTTCTCTTATTTAAAAAAAAAGAAGCTCTCTATCTGCTCTGTTTTGGGGAATAAGAATACTGAAGAATGGAAATAAGGTTGAAAGGGGCCTAAAGCATGACACTATGAATGCAGAAGCTCCGGCGAGGCTCCCGGATGGCTTGGGATGCCAGTATAAGTAGGACAGTGTGCCAGTGGCTCAGTTAACGCCTTTCTCTCTCGGTTTGTCTCTCGACCTGTCCACTCCAAGTCTCTGGAGTTTATCTTATCATAAAACATGTGAAAAATGCCAACCCCTTTTCCCCAAGGCAACCTGTACTTTGATTTACAGTTTTACTGATTTGAAATTCAACTAAACACTAGCCACGTACAGTTGATAGGCTGCATAAGTACAGTAGATACAAACGCCGAATAAACAAAGGAACCTACAACGTCGTAACTGTTTCACGTGATCATTATGGTACAATTTATTCATTTAAAAAAAATAATAATCTCAAACATTAGCTTTGAACCGCGGCACGACCTCGGTCTGTGCAAATAAGATGTAAGTTTTTCTCACTTTCCAGATTGCTGCTGACCCTAATATGTGAAAACATCCGCAGGCCGGTTACAGTCTGTGCTGCATGAGAAAAGACCACACTGCCGCTTGAACTCTTAATCACAATTCTGATCAAATTGCCCTTTGCACCAGTGCTTCTTCTGCCACGGCCAGTGTGAAGCATGTCTGATAAGTTATATGGTTTAATTGGTAGGCTACGTATAAATAACAGGGCGATATAATGGGGCAGTTATGAGAAAAGTGACTCAATCGCACAAAGAGACTTTAGTAAATACGTGATTGAAACTTTTGATGTTGTTAAATGAAGAACTGGATCAATTAAAGGCACACTATGTAGAAAGTGAGGGTAAAGCTGGCTTGAGTTACACATTTTCATATGCCTACCTCTCCTGAACAACATTATTTTGAAACCCTAGTTTTTTATTTTGCTAGGGACCCCCCTGGACAGCTCTCTGTGACCCCTGCAGGTCACTGGACCCCAGTTGGGAACCACTGACTTAAAACACATGGCTTGAATGGATGAGTGGATTCTTGTTGTGCACAATTTGGGGGCACAGAAGGTAGATACAAGGATGGAGGAAAGGAAAAGGTGAAAAAAGGGAGAGAGAGAGGTAGAGCGTCGTGATTTCTTGATAATAGTAACGAGTTAGCTGCGCACAGGCATGAAGTTCATGCATATGGTTACAACAATCTATTCCCTACACAAGTGATGCCATACATGGTACCTGACCGACATATGTGGTTTTTTTTTCCCCAAAGCTTTTAATACAGCTGGGTGATTTATGGCCGCTGCTGGGACTTCTTTCGGGGATATCAGGGTTTATGGAGATTTAGGGAGGAACAAGCGGCCTGCTGGGGAAGTTTCCTCGGCCCCACTCTGCGTCTCTCCGCGGGTCCCAGGGTCACAACGCTCGGGACAAACCCTTAATGAATTCATGTTTTCTTTTCCTTTTTTTTCCTCCCCCATTTTCTTCTTTCCTTTACTTGTTCACATCCGCTGCTTAAATATGGCTCTCATAGTAAAACCCAATCTCGTATATTTAGTTTGTTTTTAATTATTTAATAAGAAGACGGTTCACTCGTTTGAATTCACTGCAAACACCAGCGCTCAACACTATTTATCTTTTTTAACAAACTTTTACACTTTTGACTGATGGGCGCTTTTCAGTGGCTGAAAAAAGTACATAAAGTTGTATTGCAAAGGATTTATGATAAAATAGCTGTTTTGTGTCTGCGCAGGGACAATACTGAAATGTCCATATGACATCTTACATGTAGATTTTTTTCAGTGTCAGTTATCTAAATATCATATAACCTTTCATTTAACATCAGTTCAAGCATACAAAAATGAATTATTTTTTTCGTTTTTTTATAATGAGAAATTGATCGTCGCGATGCTTCTGGGGTCAGAAGATGTCCTCCTCTGGTGTCAGAGAGGCCGTGGCTGTTGAACTTCAGGCTGCTCTCAGTCTGCTGAGGAGACAAATTGTGCCGATGACAGTCCTGTGTCGCGCACAGGATCTGTGGTTAGTACTGGGTGTAAATTACTTGTGATGAAGGGAGGAAGCACTGACAAAAGACACGAGCACACAGGCACCACAATTATTTTCAGGCCGGGCCAAAGAGCTGTAAACGCGATTTACTCAAGTTTAATGTCTTTATGTCTTTTTTGAGATGATATTGTAGTTTAAATTGTTTCTGGTAGAATAAAACCTGTACAGTGTCTGGTTTTAGCACTTAAGAGTTCCAGTTGAACACATTTGTATTGAAGTTAGTAAAGTTGAATAGTACTTTCTAAAAAAAAAGTGTGGCGTGTATTTATTATGACAAAAACATCAACTTCGTAATGCCTGCACTTTAGCCAAACGCCCAAATCTCTTAAGACAACTTCAACCCGAACAGCTCTCACCTGGAATAATTATCAGTCTAAACGAAGACAAATGGGCTTTTATAGTCACAGCTCAGGGTTCCCCACTCATTCTACATACTCGTTTTTTTTCTTCTATTTATGGTGGTGTGTTTCGTGGAGTGATTACGAACAAGCCGTGCCTTTGAAGCGCACATGTTTATGTTTTTACGTGGGTGAGATCACACCTCCACAGGAGCTTTCCTGTGCCTGTTTGCAGTTGGCACATTTCTCCTCTTACTCTCTCACATGATTTATTCTCAACTGGTCCTCTTTTTTTTTTTTTCTCAATGCAGGGGAGGTCCCCTCGTCATGTTTTATTATTTTATTACCAAGATTAGGAGGCTATCGAACATATGCCGTGATATCAGAAACGTTTGGGATTTAAGTGTTTAAATAGTTCTTATTTGACGAACACAAAACGATCTCACACGCATTTTAAAATGAAACGTAAGATATATGGTAGCCTAATTAAAATGTAAGTGAGTTGAATTCAAGTGATTATAAGGCGAAAGGCTGTCCCTGACTACATTTTTTTTTACACTAAACTCCAAAAATATATATATATGTTTTTTTACAGGCCCTTCAATAAGTTTGGAATCTTTGGACCTTGCTGAATCACAAACTATACAGTAATGCAGAAGGAGCAACATGGCCATAATGTCCGGCACACAGTTATCGTCCGAAGGCCTCCGAGTGCACCAGGCTCTCTTTCAGTCTGTGTGGCCCGAGCAGGACTCACCGTGAGGCTGCTGTGTTCCGCTTTCCTCCAGGAGGTCCTCTACATTACATTCAAAAGCAAACTAGTGAGCAAATGTATTTAGAGTCGCAATTGAAGTGACAAAGGGAACTATTAGTGATTCTATGGCGGCAATCACGCAGACCATTCAGAGGCCGAGTGGAAACGCACTAAAGAGGCGTGGAAGTGGATTAGCAAAATAAAAGCAAAGTCATTCTGCCTGTCCTGCTAATGAATCAATCCCGAGGGAATTAAGGAGGTCAGATACATGTTAAAGCTACCTATCTATCTATTTATCTATGCAATATATTTTTCTTACTTATTTAATACAAATAGCCTACGTGCTTTTTTACGTAAATTACATCTTGCAGCGATGTAAAGAGACAGACCTACCTCTGTGTGTTGTTCAAAGTGTCAATTGATGTGGTCTCATTGATCGAGCAAATCGGCTCAGCCCTTTAAAATCGCACCATCAGTTCTGGTGCAAGGCTCTCTGTCTTCACGCAAGAAGCAATCAGCAATGCATGAGGATATTTATCAATGAGGCCCTGATCAATCAGCTGCATGAAGGATAACGCCGCCTCTAGTACAAAATTGCCAGGAGTTCACATTGGGCAGAAAGTCAGAATTAAGGAAATTATTATTTATTCTGATTATAGTTTAATATTAACCATGTATTAACTTTTTTTTAAAAATGTTTTCCTGTCATGTTCATCAAAATGTCAAACTTTTCAGTTTGGTAGTATACATTTGATTTAATACTTTCTTTTAATGGCACAGTAATGCAGATTGATACCATTATTCACATACAGTGAGTAGAAAAAACACGAGAGGAAACAAAAGTACCAGTTCATCACCTCCAGCAGTCCTCTGGTGGATTTGACCTCGTCAGGCAGCACAGTCTCTATAGGTCATACGCTCGACAGCAGCCATGTTGAACAGATGTACAGTGACTTAGGTTCAGACTGTCCTAAGG